GTGATTGCCTCAGAAACGTGCGCTTCTCCTGTTTGGCCCAATCGATGCACTCCTCGCACAACTGCACCTCATGTCCCGTCTTCTTCTCCATGTCCAGGAATAGGTCCACCAGTTGTCGCACCAGTTTCGCCGCCTTTGCCTTCGATATGCGGTTCAGAAACGGACGGACACTTCGGATCAGATCCGCCAGTTCTGCGACACAGAGGCACACATTCAATGCAAACCACTCTTATGGACACAACTCGCGAGTGACAAACCGTTCGCCTTTCCGTTGCGACTCATCTCAAGACCCGTTTGAATGATATTCGTCTCCTTCGCGGTCACCGACTCCTCGTCCAACTGATCCTCATTTTTGTTGTCTTCATACGAGATGTCAAAGCATTAGTGGAGACAAAGACATGGCAAATGTCTGCCAATTGGCACACATTGGCATCATTGGGATCAACACTCACTCGTGTGGTTGTGGTTAACGGCATACTTGTTGTTGAGTGACTTATTCTTCTGGAGATCAAAGCCATCGCTGTTATCGACACACATAGCGGTCGCCATTTTCGATCAAATGCCGTATTGTTTGACGAAGACTTCACTTACGCTGTCATACGAGGCATGACTTGACATAAAACATCAAACACTCGCATAAGTCATCACTTCGTTAATGCCATTCACTCGCAAACCCCTCACTCCCTATTACTCTCATTCACACCCATTTCAAACCCAATGCCTCCCAACAGTTGCCCCAATGACTGCCTCTATATATCGTCACGTTGTTTGTGTGCAATTCAATGATGTTTTTATAGATTATCTAAACATAAATAACGTTATAATGAAAAGTAAGAGTAAAACGAAAACACAGTTTATTAGAGCTATTATTGCCGGCAAAGGGACTCCAAATTGAATGCATTTTATGGCCGTAACTGACAGTTGACTCGTTTTATTGTTTTTATAACCATTGCTGACATCTATACCTCTGTAGGGATATTATGTTCCTTTAGTTCACAAACTTTTGACAACTTTTTATTTTCCCCTTTTTGGTGACAAACCTTTGCTTTTAATGACATTTTGAATAATAAATAAAATGAAATTCAAATGATATGAACATTGAATTAGTAATGAAACGCAAGAGTTATTGTAATAAATATGTTTTCACTCAAGGCCTCAATGTTTGCATAACTTTTTAAACTGTTTTTCTGAACTTTTAATACATTAAGCATTGATTGATGGAAAGGCATATGAAAAGTGACACAAATGAGAGGCAAATGTGGATTTAAAACGTAAAGAAAAGTTTGATTTTCGGGGCGAAGTGGTGGCTAATGGGGGCAATAGTTTGGACAATAATTGTTATTATTATAAATAGTTATCATATGTTAAGCGAGGGATCGGAAAGTCTACGAGAGATAAGCGATTGCATTGAACTCAATATAAGAGAGACTAATAATAATTAGTTGTGTTTTTGGAGTCTCTGTTCAGTCGACGACAACAGAGAGACGACCGACGACTAGACGACAATACAGGCGCTGAACAGCCCTCTCAGCACAGGGAGGACTGGAAGGTTGTGGTGACTGTTAAGGGCGCAGATGTTTTCCGCACAAATAGTCGCCCGAAAAGAGATGAATATATGATAATCATAATGAAAACCAACACAACTTATCATATAATATAACCAACATTTTTATTGCCTCTCTCTCTCTCTCTCTCTCTTTTTCTCTCTCTCTCTCTTTCTTTCTCTCCAGCCAACAGTTGAGTCTCAATGCATTCGCAGATAGGCTTTTGAATGAGGATTGCGTCCGATTCTTCTAGTCGTCGGTCGTCTCTCTGTTGTCGTCGACTGAACAGAGACTCCAAAAACACAACTAATTATTATTAGTCTCTCTTATATTGAGTTCAATGCAATCGCTTATCTCTCGTAGACTTTCCGATCCTCTCTCTCTCTCTCTCTCTCTCTCTGTTGCCTCTCTTTCTGGAAATCAAATCTTTTGCAAACTTTGATAGCTTTTGAAGAACTTTCAAAACTTTTTTTATTTATTGATAATCGCTTTCAGAATAAATATAAATCAAAGTATAGTTCACTCATGAGGTTTGCTATCAATAAAAGCAAATGAAACGAATATAAAAATTTAATTTCATTTCAAGACTGATATGAAAATGTTTTGAAATGAAAATATAAACAAAAAAGAGACGAAACAAAGAATAAGAGGAGAAGAGCTGAAGGACTGAAATTGAATTATTTTTATTGATACGGATTTCGAGCAAAAAGTGAACTAAAAATATAATTTTATCAGTAATTTGATGTATATATGAAGGGATTTGATTGCTTTTTATGACTCATTATCTCAATCTATATATAGTTAAGTCTCGTATGTAATCACACTTATGGCTCGGATTTAATGCTTTTTCGAAACCACTTTTTCTTCATTCGTATCTCAATTGAAGTGAATTTTGAATTTTTATTTTTCACTAAAAATTACTTTTATTGAAGGTTTGCAGAGATTTCCGATAATAATCGCAGTAAAAGCAATATAACTGCGAAAATAGTCGGGAATCGGACGCAATCCTCATTCAAAAGCCTATCTGCGAATGCATTGAGACTCAACTGTTGGCTGGAGAGTGGAGCTTCACATAGGAGTTGCACTTAACGCTAGACTTACCACTCTTTCCAGTCTTTCCACCGCTCCATACCATACCATTCCCAGCATAGACACCACTTCAACTAACTTCTCAACACATGCGGGTTGGGCTCACACTCCCGGCCGGCTTTCATCACTAGAATAATGTTCATTCATTAGACAAATCCTTTAATCAAACATAATATACAAACAATAAACATGTTATTGAGTTTCATCATTGAATCATTTTTATTGTATAGTTACCATTTAGTCCATTGAATCATTAGTATTGAATCATAATTAATAAAGAATATTCTTAATCTATTTTATTTTTATTACTAATTATGCGTTGAATTAATTTTTAAAAGGGAATATTTATTGTTAAACAAATATTGCACCATTTAAAAATATTGTATTTACTTAATATTCTTGAAATAGTGTGACTACATTTCCTTGTAAATGAAATATATTCTTAATGAATTCTCAATGAATATTAAAAACTTTATTTAAATGAATGCTGAAAATGTATTGCTGTAGAATATATTAGAAATACAGGTATTCTAGTAATATTATTGGGGACAAATTGCAATAAATATAAAAAGGCAAAAATATTCAATAAAAACAAACAAAATATGCATTTTGGAGTTGCACTTAACGCTAGACTTACCACTCTTTCCAGTCTTTCCACCGCTCCATACCATACCATTCCCAGCATAGACACCACTTCAACTAACTTCTCAACACATGCGGGTTGGGCTCACACTCCCGACCGGCTTTCATCACTAGAATAATGTTCATTCATTAGACAAATCCCTTAATCAAACATAATATACAAACAATAAACATGTTATTGAGTTTCATCATTGAATCATTTTTATTGTATAGTTAACATTTATAATACATCCATTGAATCATTAGTATTGAATCATAAATAATAAAGAATATTCTTAATCTATTTTATTTTTATTACTTGAATTAATTTTTAAAAGGGAATATTTATTGTTAAACAAATATTGCACCATTTTAAAATATTGTATTTATTTAATATTCTTGATTGAAATTGTGTACTACATTTCCTTGTAAATGAAATATATTCTTAATGAATTTTCAATGAATATTAAAAACTTTATTTAAATTAATGCTGAAAATGTATTGCTGTAGAATATATTAGAAATACAGGTATTCTAGTAATATTATTGGGGACAAATTGCAATAAATATAAAAAGGCAAAAATATTCAATAAAAACAAACAAAATATGCATTTATAAGGAATGGATATTATGAATATTAAATGAATGTATGCAATGTACGTATGGGTAAGGGTATGGTATGGTAGGTCTGTTGGCTGTACATATTGTGAGCATTAGTACGATAAGTAGTATACGGCTAATGATGTGGAGTAGAGATAAAATTGTGGAAATTATAGTACAGTATATGATGTACGCAAAGAGCAGTGGCGCCGGTCGTATAGGAGAGATGCCATTAAGGTCTGGCAGATACAGCTCAGGCATACATACATACAGGCCTTGGGGCACAATCTGATTACAAGCCAAACACCACTATCTGTTCCCTTCACTCCTCGTCTCTGTTTTAAGAGTGAGGACTGACTGAGGGTTCGGAGCATTGGCTGCCAGTCCTCTGCAGAGCTCAGTAGTGAGCGATTAGTCGAGAGTTTGGGTTTCAGTTTGTTTATTGTAATAATGAGCGTTGTTTTAAGCCATAAGTCCTTTCAAAACCTTATTTAAGACGAGTTTTTGAAATATTTATGTTTTCAAAGTTTGCTTTCAATGCCTTTCAATGCTTTCGAACAAATCAAATGGACTTCAATTTATTGCATCTTCTCTTTGAATGATATTTATATCAATAGTTGAATATTGTTTGCAATTATATCCGTCGTTATGAAGAATTTTGTACTCAATATCCAAATGTTAATCAATTTTTTAATACTTGTCACCACTTCTTATGGTATGTATTGTCTTATTATACTCTCATTATATACTTTCCTTCACTTTATATACTTTCCTTACTTTCCTACTCGACTCTTAAACATTAAACTCTATGTTCTTATAATCTCTATGAGATAGACCCTGATATTCAGCACTGAAAGACAAATATTTAACAAAATCTTTATTAATAGAAGAGGTTTTGGGGTTTGACTGCAAATATGATTGCGAGTGTATTATCAGTGTATAAATTCATTCATTTTGGTTATAATAAAATGTAGTTTTGGATATATTTATCCAATGTTTTTCAATGTTAGCAATTGTTTGGATGTTTAGCCAAATGTTAATAAAGTTTCAGCAATGTTTAGATGAAAAGGCATTTGTATGGAAACATGCGATGCAATAGCAATAGTAATGCTGTTTGAATGGAAATAATAGAGTGCTTTCACTTTGGGTATAACAGACAACATATGTATGAGTGATTTAGTGATAATATGATAGCAATGCCACCAAAAAAGCAAAATATAATCATTTGGTGCGGGTTTTGATTACAGAGTGTGATTGCCTCAGAAACGTGCGCTTCTCCTGTTTGGCCCAATCGATGCACTCCTCGCACAACTGCACCTCATGTCCCGTCTTCTTCTCCATGTCCAGGAATAGGTCCACCAGTTGTCGCACCAGTTTTGCCGCCTTTGCCTTCGATATGCGGTTCAGAAACGGACGAACACTTCGGATCAGATCCGCCAGTTCTGCGACACAGAGGCACACATTCAATGCTAACCACTCTTATGGACACAACTCGCGAGTGACAAACCGTTCGCCTTTCCGTTGCGACTCATCTCAAGACCCGTTTGAATGATATTCGTCTCCTTCGCTGTCACCGACTCCTCGTCCAACTGATCCTCATTTTTGTTGTCTTCATACGAGATGTCAAAGCATTAGTGGAGACAAAGACATGGCAAATGTCTGCCAATTGGATCAAATGGATCAACACTTACTGGTGTGGTTGTGGTTAACGGCATACTTGTTGTTCAGTGACTTATTCTTCTGGAGATCAAAGCCATCGCTGTTATCGACACACATAGCGGTCGCCATTTTCGATGAAATGCCGTTTTCTTTGACGAAGACTTCACTGAAGCTGTGCTGTCATACGAGGCATGACTTGACATAAAACATTAAACGCTCGCATAAGTCATCACTTCATTAATGCCATTCACGAGCAAACCCAAGCACTCCCTATCACGAGCATTCACACGCTTTTCTAACCCAATGCCTCCCAACAGTTGCCCCAATGACTGCCTCTATATATCGTCACGTTGTTTGTGTGCAATTCAATGATGGTTTTGTAGATTATCTAAACATAAATAACGTTATAATGAAAAGTAAGAGTAAAACGAAAACACAGTTTATTAGAGCTATTATTGCCGGCAAAGGGACTCCTATTTGAGTGCATTTTATGGCCGTAACTGACAGTTGACTCGTTTTATTGTTTTTATAACCATTGCTGACATCTATACCTTTGTATGGATATTATGTTCACAAACTTTTGACAACTTTTTATTTTCCCCTTTTTTGTGACAAACCTTTGCTTTTAATGACATTTTGAATAATATATAAAATGAAATTCAAATGATATGAACATTGAATTAGTAATTAAACGCAAGAGTTATTGTAATAAATATGTTTGCATTCAAGGCCTCAATGTTTGCATAACTTTTAAAACTGTTTTTCTGAACTTTTAATACATTAAGCATTGATTGATGGAAAGGCATATGAAATGTGACACAAATGAGAGGCAAATGTGGATTTAAAACGTAAAGAAAAGTTTGATTTGAGGGGCGAAGTGGTGGCTAATGGGGGCAATAGTTTGCGATAATAATTGTTATTATTATAAATAGTTATCATATGTTAAGCGAGCGATCGGTGAAAGGAAAGTCTACGAGAGATAAGCGATTGCATTGAACTCAATATAAGAGAGACTAATAATAATTAGTTGTGTTTTTGGAGTCTCTGTTCAGTCGACGACAACAGAGAGACGACCGACGACTAGACGACA